GAACAAAAATTCAGTGCAAAAGAGACGCCCCCCCCCCAAAAAAAGCCTAAAAGCACACTAAAAATACCCCCAAAACCCAAACCTCTGCTTGGAGAGTAGTGATTATGATGTTTGATCCGCTCGCACTGGAATGGGCCCCTGCTCTTTCCATAAATGTGGTGCGTTCTTCAACGTGATAGATGCATGTCTCTCTTCAAACACCGGATATCCATTTAACTTCCCATCCAAGGGACGGCCTTAACCGAAGCTTGGTACTGGTTTAATACTTTTATTAATTAAATGAGTAAAATGGGCCCATAGAAAATGTGTATGTTCCTTGTCAGGTGGAGACTACCCTGGTCTGATGATCGAGGCGTACAAGACGGACAACACGACGATTCTGTACTTCAACACCGTCGTCTACATCGGACAGGTGGGTACATGTGTGTGTGTTGGTACGGGGACACATTTGAAATCTTGAAAGGGGAACGGAGAGAAATTGGAGAGAAGAAAAAATCACACAAACCAAAGGTTTAGATTTATGGTTTTACATTGCCAGCCTTTTTATTAGCTTCAGTACGCTTTTTTGGTCGCAGAGAACAAGTGTTACTACTACGTTAACAAACAGCTGACAGACCTAAATGGTCAAGGTGACTCAAATTGAACTGGAATTAAGACCTTCATGAGTGTTATATTTTCGAACTGGAAAGCCTTGCAGAATAGAAGACATATAAAATACATTTTTACACGTTGTTTGTCTCCGTCTGTGTAAACCATGGCAAACTCTGATAACGTCTGCTTTCCCTTCCGCAGTTTTTCGTCTTCGCCTTGCTGGTTGCTCAAATCTACGACTCCTACAAGTTTGCCAACAAGAAAAGGGTAAAGTGTCACCATCCAGTCAATAACAGAAAATTTTAACTATTGACAGGACCATCCTGTCAATAACAGAAAATTTTCCACTATTGACAGGACCATCCTGTCAATAACAGAAAATTTTCCACTATTGACAGGATAGTCCTGTCAATAACAGATCTAGAAAATTTTTCACTATTGACAGGACCATCCTGTCAATAACAGAAGAAATCCATTATTGACAGGATCATCCTGTCAATAGTACAAATTTTCCTACTATTGATAGGATGGTCCTGTCAATAGTTAAGAATTGTCTGTAATGTTGACAGGACTATCCTGTCAATAGGGCATTTTTTCTGTTATTGACAGGATGGCCCTGTCAGCAAATTTTCCACTGTTGACAGAATGGTCCTGTCAATAGCCTTAAGCTAGGTAGTATTATTTTACGGCTAAGCGGTAACAGCACAAGTTTGCAAAAGCCTCGCAGTTGGCTAAGTTTAATGCAGACATTGGACATGCTAAGATCTGGCCAATCTGATGTGCCCTAGTGTTGTTGAATGTTTAGAAATTATCTCTGGTCCCTCTTGAAACAATTCTATTCTGTGGATGCTAAGGTTTCAACAAATTAAAAGCATGAGCCATTTCGTTGGCCTGCTGTGAGAGTTCTTCATTGCCGATGTCGGGCGGCAATACCAACATCCTTTGTGGGGTCCGGTGTGGCGTAGCGGCAGCGTGCTCAACTCGGAACCAAGAGGTCCCGGGTTCGAGTCCTGACATGCCACCGATCTTGTGCCCTTGGGAAAGGCACTTAACACGACTTTCCTCGCTTAACTCAAGTGAAAATGAGTATTGTCTTGTTCTGTATTCGTTCTCTGCGTTGGTGGCGGCATAAAATCAGTTGATATAACTTGAGTGTGCTGTCACCATGTCTAGTCATAAAATGTTGAAATATGAAAAAAAAACATTCTGTGGGACAGTGATGTTGAGGCTGACTGGAAACGGTTTATTGTTTCTTTTTAAAATTTATTTCAGCTTTATTTTTTTACATATATTTACATATATAAAAAATGGCTAAGGGAAACAGGCAAGTGCCTTTACAGTTTACAAGCCCCCTGGTCACATAATAATGACAAATTTAATTTGTTGGTTCTCGGATTCGCCTCTTCATTTTTTCCTGACTTGCAAAAAAAAAATTTCAGAATCAATTGCAAAATGCTCATATTTTGCCCTGAACAGTTGAAAACAGTCCTTTTCTTCCTAGTCGTTACAGTTATTCCATCTTTCAATGCAATGGTATCATTAGAAGTTCAAAATTCATTGTTTAAATTTTGAACCAGCCTTTTGTGTTGACTTCATACCTCCTATCGTAGCATTTGGGGCTATAATAGGATGCCTAGATCTGTTTTTATTTTTTTTCGCCCTGTCGCTTCATATTTTTCCTGAAAAATCCGAGAACCAACAAATTAAATTGGTGTGGCCTAAATACATATAATAATTCGCAAACTCTTATCGTCTGAATTTCTTGCAGATAAAAGAGGAGCGTCTTGAGGAGAGGCAGTGTCTGGTGAAGGCGTTTGACGCCATTGACTTCGCCAAGATCGGAGTTATCTCATATCAGCAGTGGAGAAGGTAACGGCATACAAATCATCGTTAGGTTAAGGATTATTGTCTAAGAAAATGATATACAACAACAGAAAAAACAGATCTACTTCAATTTTGTACGTGTCTACCTTAAACCTCCCTAGCTTCGGTAAAGGACGTCCCTCGGATAGAACGTTAAATGGAGGTCCCGTGTTTGGGAGAGCCACACCCCACGCACGTTAAAGAACCCACCGCACTTATCGAAAAGAGTAGGGGACCTTCCCAGTGTGAGTGGTTCAAACCTTACAGTCTGTTCTCGGGTTTGACATCTTTGAAAAGGTGATAGTCACCTGCATGTTTATGTCAATCCTTCCACAAATGTGGTAAATCTTCATAAATAAATAAACCTAGATAGAGCGCAGTAAAAAATTTCCTTATTGCATGCCTACCTGCCTATATGCACAGGCCAGGTACTGGCCCCTTCCTCCCCTCTGTCAGGTGCTTCGAATTCCAGCCAGCTCTATCAAGGGCATTAGTCTCTGCTTCACTTAGGGTAATCCCTGTATCACTCTGGATCTGGTCTTTCCACCTCTTGGGTGGTCTTCCCCATCTATGGTTTTGGAAGTCCTGGTGGTATGCCTTATAAACTAAGGTGTTGTATTATTTATTGTATAGTGAATTTATAAACATCACATCTACTTCTCAATCAATTTTTCACGTGTCTCCCTAAACCAACACTTTTCCTAGATGTTTAAAACTTATCTCTGTACTGAAAATTTTAGTTACGGCTAAAACTAACCAATGTCACATTTACTTCAGATTATACAGGGAGCTGGATCCAAGAGCCACAAACGTAGAAACTATGGGAAGATTTCTGGTGAGGAATAATTCTTCTTGTGAATTTTTGCTAACGTTGAAGTGCCAATCGGTGCTGGGTTATTTCATTTTTTTTATTTTTATCAAAAGGTCAAAAGATTGAGATGTCGCGCCTGAAAAATGACAAACGAAAACAAACTTACGATAAACGCAACTTCGAAATATCAAAGCTCCCATTCAAGGGAAGTACCATTTATTGAAAAGCATGAATTTTACTATTAGTGCTGATTCCATACTTCTCTCTTAGACTATAATTTCTGTTTCTACATATAGAAATTTAAGGAGCTGGCGGGGCATGATGTAGATCCTGGGAACAAGAGCTGTAACACTGAGAACGAGATGCTGACGCTTGTGGAGTTCTTGTTTCTTCCCGACGTGCTTCAGTTCACGGTAGAGAAGGTGATGCCCCAGTCTGTTATTATAAGATAAAACGTGTAATTATAAATGCCATACTTTGATACTTTAGAAATAGCTTCGATGGCTAGGCTGGTGGATACGAGATTAAGGCTAAGAGGTCACGGTTTAAAGATAAAATTTTTGATCCAACACAAAAAATTCTCTCACCTAGAGCTTTCGACCAGTCACTCTGGTCTTCCTCAGTAGACTGATCCAGTGTTGACGTCACACTTCAAAGAAGCCACGTGACAAGCTTCACTGGGTCAGTCT